TTTTTACTTTGTTTTCGTAATATGCCCGAAACGGCTGAGTGAGGTTGGTCTAAATAAAGTAAATAAATAAATAACGGCACCTGCTGTATTGAACTCTCTTCCAGTCGTGACCATTACATTTTCACGAGAGGAGCAGTTTTCCGATGCACGCGAACGCTTACCTTGAATGAAACTCTGTTGGTCTTCAATGTGCCACTGGACTCAAACATTGTTCTGCTGCTTCAGTGAAAAGGATGATTCCCTTGCTGGCACATTCTGATTAGGGCTTCTTTAGGGCAGGACTTGCCAAGGTCTATCCCTCAACACTGTTTTCACTGCTACATTGTGCCCCGGAAATGTTGCATAGCGTACAATCCATATGTACACTGTCAAGGACAGGACTTTGTCTAGAGCGTTATAAAATGTCATATGTATATGTACTGCAATGCCAAACACATGGGACCTATAGGAGGGGCTGTGGCTCAATGGTAGAGCATCTGCTAGGCATGCAGAAGGTCCCAGGTTCAATCCCCAGTATCTCCAGTTAAAAGTACTGGCAGTAGGTGATGTGAAAGACTGAGACCTTGGAGAGCTGCTGCCAGTCTGAGTAGGCAATACTGACTTCAGTGGACTGAGAGCCTAATTCAGTACAAGGCAGTTTCATGTGTTCAACATAGAATGTAGCAGAAAATGAATTGTGAATCACTTCTTGGCTCGTCTGCATCTATACAGAAAAGAAGGAAAAGGAGCAATCTCAAAATGTCATGATTAAATTAATGATAATGATAGAAGATCATGAGCTTGTTTTTCTTGGGGTTTTTTGGGGGGTAGAAGTAAGTAAATTGATGGGGGTATTTTGTTGGATGCTTCCACAAGAGCTAAAATCCGGTGCTTGCTTATGCATTTCATGTCAGCAACCTGCATGTGAATTAACCTGGGGGATTAGTTTTGTCGGGTCATTAGTTAATTGTTATCTGATTATTTATTCATCTGTTGTGTTACGATAACAGTACCAGAGACATGTTTGTTTGTAAGACGCCCTGTTCGCTTGTGCCTAAAGATCCATTTATTAGCGCTCAGTTCTTCTTTACATCCAGAATTAGTTGTAACAGCCATTTGCTTGTTTGTGTCTCTTTCAAGGTAACAACTGGTCCTGAAAGCACTTAAGGATGAGGTGTAAGCTTCAGAGCTGTCATCGAAAAGTCTAAATGACCCAGCCTACAAACCTCAAGCAAGGAAAGCACACTTGCAGTGCCATGGCAAGTTGATGGCTCTCTTGTTTTAACCCAAAGCCATCTTTCAACCAAAATGAGAAGGAGCAACGCACAACGTAAACACAGGATGTGGTTTCCAGACAACTGAAGTGTGAAGCAAACCTCATGAATTTCAACCACCGAGATTCAGAGAGCATCACTGGTAAGCCGGAAAGCTTTAGAAGTTATGCTGGCGATCGCTTTCAGAGCCCCTCAGTAGTGGCACAGAGAAATTATTCTAGGCTCCAAAATCATTTCCTTTAAATTCGAGATAATAGACAATCGTGGCTTTAGGATTAAACTAGGACTTCACAGGCTGTTGTGGTGGGGTTGCTTTAGAGGAGGAGAGGAGCTGAGCTTCCCCAAACGTACAGAAGATGAAAGAAGGATAGTTGCGGAGCTGGAGAAAGAAAGGAAACCAAAGAAAATTAATACTAGAGATGGAAATTCACAGTGTGGGTGTGTGGGTGGCAGGTTATCCGGGTCTGTAGCCCATTCTGACCTGTAGAGTAATTGGTGAGAGGGCAGGTGCTTAGCTACAGACTACAGAGAGTTATGGCATGTTGTGAGATGTACTAGATAAAAACATTTCTATTACTCAGCCTAATTGTGGTAAACCATCTTGAGAGTCCAGATGGAAAGGCTCTGTGGGTTATAAATAACATGTCCCTTTTTCGAGCCCGATACTTTATTGTACATTTCAGGTATACCTGCAAAGAGAAGCCTGGCCCCTAGTTTGCAACTTCCACAGGTGGAAGAATTCTATTGCGGATCTGTTCTGCAGACTGGTCATAAAAACATGCTTAGAAATTAATTCCACTCATCCAGTGAAATGGATCTTTATTCATTGCTGACAGTGCTGATTTTCAGTCATATTGATTTGACCGAAGTTGGAGTCCAGAGGCATCTTTAAGACGAAGAAAGTTTAATTTTGGGTATAACTATTAAGCTTTGTTGGTCTCAAAGGTGCCACTGGACTCACACTTTGTTCTGTTGCTTCAAACCAACACAGCTACCCACCTGAGTTATATCTTCATTGGTTTGACCAGTGTGTTAATAACTGTGCAGTTTCTGTCTGGCAGTATTGACACTCTGTGGTGTGCCTGTGATGTGAAAACCTGGTGAAAATCCTATTATTTAGCAGAGGAAACTTAGTTGTTTTCCAGCTTACTTTCTGAACCAGGTTTGCCGCTTCAGCTTCTATTTGATAAATCTGTGCCATGCTGCCTGCTTGTATTTTAGACATCTGCACTGATGACGATCTCCCTGAAGTTGAGCTGGTGAGCATGCTAGAAGAACAGCTCCCTCAATACAAGTTACGAGTGGACTCTCTGTATCTCTCTGAAAATGAAGACTGGACTCCGTCTCCGAGCCACCGCGGTCACCTCCCCGAAATCACATCTCCAGTCCTCGCCGAGGAGACCTTCCGTTACATGAGTAAGTGTCTCCGGTTCCAATTAATGGCATTTTTCTTTTAAAGAGAGAAACTGAATTAATGGGTATAAAGTAGTCAGAAAGGGCTCCTAGATAGAATGCAGAAGTTCGTCCCGGGATACGCGATTCAAATACCCGGCCAGTCATGTTTGAGCTGGGTGACGTGGAACAAAATGGTACACAATATCTATATATGTGTGTGTGTGTGCCCTTTATGTAAACAACTAGGTTAAATGACCACTGTCCTACCATGAACAATGGAGGGGGATTTTAGGGGTCCAGGCCTCTTCCAGGGATCACCAACCCCATTAGGGTTCTTTTCTATGGGTGGGGGGAGTCTGGCTGGGGAACTCAGGCCCCCAGAAGGGGAGAAACACAGAGAGAACAGTTGCCTTATACTAGAAGTATCTATTAACTCTAAAGCCATACACCAGTGAAACTCAAGAGCATATATTCAGTATCAATACCCAACAGCATCTAGAAAATATGTGGCCATAGGTAAGGGATAACGGTTAACTGTAAGCCACTCAGAGACCCCCTGGGGGGTTCGAGCAGGGTAGCAAGTTGAAATAAATAAATAAATAAAAATCCCAGTACCTGATATAGTGTACGCTTCAGAAAGAACAAGGAATTCTCGGCCTGCGGACCAAGACCTCACTCAAGCCCAGGTGGGGTGTTGGCCAAGCAGCCCTGAACAGAATCTGAAGCCTCATTTTTAAACTCCTTTCAGCCGATAGGAATCAAGGGAGGAGTTAATGAAAATATACCAGACTTGCCAAATACCAGCCTATCTTAAGATAAACTTTTGCTAGTATGAACTTTTCGCCTAGATATATTTTATTAACTGCAATGACAAAAAGACCTAGACAGATATGTTTAGACTCTGAAGGCCATGAAATGTGACTTCAGGGCAAGGCTTTAGTTGTTACGCCTAGGCTGCCAGCAATAGAGCAAAGGCTTATGGGACCTCTGAACCAAGAAACCAAAGTCAGTTATGGCAAAACCTACATAGCACAAAAAACCAGAAAGGCCCAGGTCCATTGAAGTCCGAATTCTGCCACAAATGACACAGTTTGGCTTCTGTTCCTTTGTATGAGGGCATAACCGTAAGCAGGGGTCATTTCGTAGAAAAAGAGGTGCCAGGAGCTCATTAGCATAACTTATTCACATAACTTATTTGCATATGCTACACCCCCTGAAATCACCGGAAGTGTGTCAGAAGGCAACACCCACCACTCAGGCTCCACTGAACTGTTTTGGATTGCTAGCTATTGGGGGGGGGG